GGGGGGGGGGGGGGGGGGGGGGGGGGGGGCAGGAATGCGGGAACAGTGCCCCCCAAAGAGACGCCCCAGTGAAATAAGAATGGTGTGAAGCAGAAGCGTTACAGGAATGTTATGATGACATTACTTGCTTGTTCGAGGTCATCAGGGAGACACCACAATTGATTCTGTGTGTGTGTGTGTTAGGGGGGGGGGGTTATTCGAGTCCCATGGAGCTGAGTGGGGGGTGTGGATTCACACTGGGCCGCCTGGTCTTTCCATGTCTTCTGCCAAGCTGTGCACCCAGGTATTCGCCTGTCCTGTCCCCCGGCCGGTGGATGCAGGTATGGTGAGCCGACACAGCCGAAATAAGCCTGACGAGCGCCCCCTTTGGGCCGGGCCCTGAATTGACCCAGTAATCCCCATGCTTGCTAGTCTTTGTGAGGGCAGGAGGTCATTCATCCAGGAAAGGCAATAGGTGCATGTCCATTTGTACGGAGACAGCAAGCTAGTATCAGCCAGGCTGAGGCCTTAAGCTGTCTGGGTAATGGTGTTACAAACAGCAGAAACGTGAGCGTCTGTGTACTAACGGGAGCGGAACAGACCGCCTGGCATTGGGGGGGGGTGTGGGCCGTGCAATGCAGGCATCCCATGGGACAGCGCTCTGCAGAAACATAAAAAGCCAACAACACAGAGATGAAAGAATGCGTCTGGGATCTCATTTACAGTCTCTGTATACGGACATGTAATGGCAGAGGGGGGAAGCGATTCCATTCACCGTACTCAGAGTAGGACCCCCCCTCCCCCCCCGCCTTTCATTATGTGTTGAAAGCGCTGCTCTCTTGTGTGCCTTGCTTTTCCTTGCCTTCTAAGACAAAACCGCGCTTATTTCCGCGGCTCCTGTTCAGCGGGCGGATGTGTGATGTGTTTTCTGATGGAGGATGTAAGTGACGGCGGATTAATCATCATCTGACAGTAAAAGCGGCCTGACTGAGACAGGTCTGTCTGTCACGGGGGCTCCCTCTCTCCCTCTCCCTCCTGTAGCTCCTCTGCGCGTGTAGGACTGTGCCCACCAATGAGGGCTGCCACTGACAGGGGACCAGAGGTCGAGAGGGTGACATTGGTAGGAGGGAGACTCCTTGCTCTGGGCGTTCATTGGCTGTATCGGAAGCCCCTGGTTTCCTATTGGTCAGGAGAATCTGGCTGCAGATGGATAGGCGCGGTGAAGGCACTCGTTTGGTAGATATAGGAGCTTCACTTCGGGGGTAACTGGGGATCCCGGAATGTGTTGCGTCTCATTAGGGCAGCAGGGGGCATTGTTGGACTTCGATGGCAGCACATACATGTGCAGCACATTCCTCGTCCAGATCCCGTCAGCTGTGGGCCGCACGAGTCTGGTCCCGTGTCTGAGGTTTGTTTGGGTGAGGAGCAGCCTCCTCTGGGCCCAGTCCATGGCTGCGTCCCTGAACCGGGCCTGCTGGGTCGATCAGTACCGGCTGGAGAGTCCCCCCCCCCCCCCCCGTGGCGTGAGCACACTGCCAGCAGGGAGGCAGTAATCTCATGCAGACCCTAATCGAAGCACTCTGCTCCTCTGAAATCTAATCGGTTAAAGCATCACTCTGTCCGACTCGGCCGGCTGGGGGGGGGCAGCGGCTCTCATATTGCCCTTTAATAACGTTTGATTATTAGGCGCTCTCTCGGCAGTCCGGATGTGGAAATGTCACCAGACCCGTGGTTTCAGAGGCTCTGTATCCCAGCAGCACCCTGGAGACGGGGGGGGGGGTGTTATTGTCAGTAATTGCGACAGTTCCGCCAGCTTCCCCACCAAGTGCCTATTTTGAAATTTCAAAAATGATTCATAAATATCAAAAGAGCGACTGAAGACGCCCCTCCCTCGCCGAGAGCCCCATTGTTCGCCGCTATTTAAAGCACCCCTCTCGTGGCACGCAGACGGCGATGTGGAGGCGCGCCGGACCACACGCACAGACATATGCACGCATACGCACACACACGCACCCGGACGATGTGGACCACACGCGCACACATGCACAGCCGGCCTCTTTCTCTGTTTGCACGGAGGTTTATAAACGTCGTTAGCGTGATGGCAGGCGTCAGAGTGTGGAGTCCTGTAACTGATCACCTCGCTGTCTGGCGAAAGGCTATGTGTGTGTGGATTAGGGTTATATTACATTGTGGGGACCAAATGTCCACCAAATGTGTATGTATGCACACACACACACACACACACACACACACACACACCCTGCAGGCCTCCCCTCCCGTACTTACTGTAGGCCGCCCCTGAGGGCCAGCCAGCGCGGACATAATAATAGCGTCTTGCTGTGGGTTATTGATACGGGCGGCTAGGAGTGCAGGCCGGCGGGTAATTACCTGTTTGTTTGAGCTTCAGTGCCAGCCCCCCCCCCCCCCCCAAGCCTTCTGAGCACTGCATTACGGGACCGAGGAGCAGGAGCCCCCGTTTACTGAAGCAGGGGCCTGGAATGGAGAGATTAAAGCAGTGTGGCTCATTACTGCACCAGCATCCCCCTGGCCTGAAAAACCCAACCCTAATGTGCTGATAGACCCCCCCACACACAGTCTGTCTGTTCTGTTTTGCACCCTCTCTCCTCTCGGTCTCTGTTCCCTACCACCATGCCCTCCTCTGTGTTCTGTTGCCCCTTTGACACCATCTTCCTTTGTCCCACTGTGCTCCATCCAGTGTGCCCCCCGCTGCTCTGTTCCTTGTCTTCCTGTCCCCAATGCTAGTTGGGGGAAGAAAAAAAAACAGCTTTGGAACATTTTGCATATGCTGCCCCCACATGGCCATAGTGGGAATTGCACATCGGATTGGTGCATTGGGTGCAGGTCCGAGAGGATGCTGCAGGGTATTTAAGGTTTTAAGGAGTGTGCCAGCCTGCCCTGCCAGTGGATGATTATGCTGGCTCTGGCTTCTCCCGTCGCCTGTCGCTGTGGAGTCGTTACAATAAAGTGCACTGTCTCACCCAGCTGTTAAGAATCACTCCTATCTGAGGTGTGCTGTGGGGTCAATCGCATTGCCCATCATAAGCCGAGTGGTAATTGGTTCACAGGAAAAACTGATTTAGATAATATATTGCAGATTGCAGCTGTATTTGGCTGTTATTCCCGCCGTTCTTTTTGCCCCTGACGTTTCTATAACCGTAATGGAATGGTGACTGGGTCCTTGATGATCCGGGATGCTGGATGGGAGCCTGCGAGGTCCAAAAAAGGTCAGGCGTCCCACTGCAGTGGAGCACATTAGCCATAAGGCTGTCGGATTGGCCACTGCGCTAGTGCAACGTCATCTGATCCGAGAGTGACGTGTCCGTCGGCTGGGCTGGGGTGGGGGGGCGGGGTTCTGTTTATTCTCCCAGTCATGGTTTAGCCTCTTTTTTTTTTTTTTCTGTGGGGCCCTGTGTGCTGAAGTGTTAAATTTCTCAATAATATGCCCTTGTGGTGTAAATGAACATGCCGGGAATATGCAGTTGACGGATTTCCTGTCTGCCCCTCTCTGCCCCATCCCCACCCTGCCCCCTGCAGGAAGTTCTACTACATCACGCTGCTGCGTGACCCGGTGTCGCGCTACCTGAGCGAGTGGCGGCACGTGCAGCGCGGCGCCACCTGGAAGACGTCGCTGCACATGTGCGACGGGCGCACGCCTACGCCCGAGGAGCTGCCCTCCTGCTACGAGGGCGGCGATTGGTCGGGCTGCACGCTGCGCCAGTTCATGGACTGCCCCTACAACCTGGCCAACAACCGGCAGGTGCGCATGCTGGCCGACCTCAGCCTGGTAGGGTGCTACAACGCCTCCTTCGTGCCCGAGAAGAAGCGTGCCCAGATGCTCCTCGAGTCGGCCAAGAAGAACCTGCGCGACATGGCCTTCTTTGGCCTCACCGAGTTCCAGCGCAAGACGCAGTACCTGTTTGAGAGAACCTTCCGGCTGCGCTTCATCCGGCCCTTCGTGCAGTACAACAGCACACGGGCAGGTGGGGTCGACGTGGATGAGGACACTGTGCTGCACATTGAGGAACTCAATGACCTTGACATGCAGCTCTATGACTACGCCAAGGACCTCTTCCAGCAACGCTACCAGTACAAGCGGCAGCTGGAGAGGCGCGAGCAGCGCCTCAGGACCCGCCGCTTCCGACAGGAGTCGCCCCGGGACGAAGGGACTGAGGACGGTGCCCGTCTGCCCACCGAGGACTATATGAACCATATCATCAACCGCTGGTAGCCCCTGATCCAGAACTGGGGGGGAGCAATCAGACATCCCACCCACCTCAGGAGAACGAACCCGCATTCCCTTCATGGCGATCTGCGTTACGTTCGTGGTGGGGGCGGACTGTGATGACCAGCGGCCACCCACAATCCTTTGCGTACTCAGATGCATGAACATACTCAGCTCGTAGACTGGCATCAGGCCTAGGGACAGCTGGAGTCGTACAGGGAGGGGGTCTAGGACCCGTGGAAGCTGGGGGGGGGGGTAAAAACTCACTACATTATTTACAAAGAGGTATATATAGGTAAAAAGTATTCTGTTTGTTGAGTCGGCGAGTATGGTGCTTTTTAAGAGTGAGATTTTAGTACTTTGGAAAGAAGGATTTTTAATGAGCAGGAGTGAAACCTGAAAGCTCCCTGAAGGAGCCCTGAAAGCTTCTCGAAGTTTTTCTGATGCATCTTTGCTTTTAAACCCATTTTAATTATGTCGCCTAGCACAGTCCTGTGTTCTCCAGGTAACGAGTGGCAGCAGGTATGTGGTTAGCCTCCTGAGGAACCCCAACGCGTGGAACCAGCAGGAGAGCCAGGGAACGGCGCCGAGGTTCCTCACACGCCACTGTATGGGCTGTGCTCCGGGCTACAGCTGCCCTCGCGCCTCCAGGGGGGGGACTTGTGGCAGGTTTTATATCCGTGTTTGTTCGTTTGTTCTTGAATTAAGGGATCGGATGGAATCCCTGAGCTCACCTGTGGAAGGAGAGCACCTCTCCTACGAGGAGGAGCGGGATTATGACCTTTAAACACAATCAGCCAATTAGTCACAGCAGGTGACCCCCCCCCCCCATCCTCAAGGGGAAGCCTGCTGATTGCGATTGGCCAATCAGCCATAGAGGAGGGGCCTTTTTGGGGGAGTGGGGGAGAGAGAGTGGCCAGCCTCCATTCTCGATTTTTTTTATTTGTTTGTTTTTATTTGCTCCACGTTCTAAATGTTTTGGTTTCCTTGGATCTGTGTGGGCATCTCTTTACTGTCAGACTACTGTGTGTGTGTATGTGTGTGTGTGTGTGTGTGTGTGTGTGTGTGTGTGTGTGTCACATGTCAAAGCACTGCAATTCAACATGTTTCCAAACACACACAGACGGCGATCCCAGCGACAGATCTGCAGGGCTACAGACCAGAGTGCATGAGGATGAGGAGTGTGTCTGTGTGTGTCTGCGTCTGCGTGGATGGGGGTGTGGGGGGGGGGGGTTCATTGCCTGGATTATTCCTCAAACCCACAGAAGAGCAAAGAGTAGCCTTCATCTAACCCATCCCATTTCACAAAGGAAGCACATTGGACAAAATTATCCTGTACAACAGGGAGGAGGATCAGAAAAATCGATGCCCAGACCCGACTAAACGATTAACGATCGCTTTGGGTTCTGTTAACAGAAGAGAGAAAACCAGGCCACGACACAATGGGATTATGGACACTGAGGCGTGGAAGCTGTGGGGGAGACGTTGTGCAATGGACACACTGCATTTGGGGAGGGAGGGGTGTTTCTTGCCAAAGGCAGGAGGTAATGAGCTTTTTTTTCGCTATCTGTGAAGCGAATGCACTGTAAGGTGGGTTCTGGATGATCACTGCCAGTTGTATGTGATGGCCGCATTTTCCCCAAGATACGGGTGGTGGAGATAGGTGTGTGGGGGGGGGGGAGCTGTCTGTCCTCCTCACGCCTGCGGGGGCTTTGTACGCGGCAATGTGGGCAGAGCTCGGTCTCCATGCTGTCCTGGGTGGAACAATCAGGCTTATGGAAAGAGCTGAAGCTTTGGGCTGAAGGTCCAAAATAATAATGATAAAAAAAGCAGGTGAGGGAGTGAGATTCCTCAGTCCGCGTCCAGCTGATACTGCGCTTAGCCATGAGTGTTTATCTCATCCATGCAGAATGGACCATCACAGCACCAATAAAGAAATGTCATTTTTTTTTAAACAAAACGTCTCCTGTCATCTCTTTTGCTTCCCGTATTTTCCCTGGGCAGGAGGGTCCGTGTGCCGGTCTGTACGCTTGATCCTTCGCAGCCGAAACTGCATGTCCCACATGAAGTCACGTGACCCCTGCATGAAGTCACGTGACCCCCGCATTTTGAGGACGGAAGGAGGAGGAGCTACTTCGGCGACCGCCCAGCTTGACAGTGCCGTCAGAAGCGCCGGCTGTAGAGGATTTACTTTCGTGGGGAGGTGGGAGAGAGCTGCCTCACGTCTGGTTGCGTTTTAGCCTGAGGTAAACATTTCGAAGGGAAAACATCTCGAATAGCAAGTCAAATAAAACTGTATTGTCATCCCAGCCATGTTTAATGCACAATGATCTAAAACAGCGTTCCCCCCTGGATCCAGTGCATCTGTCATGACAGGACAGATATTACAGTGCAAAAGGCAGTCTCTGTGCAGTAATTTACATTAAAAAGTCCTGCACAATTAATAATTTAAGGGGAGGAGACCGAGCGAAGAGTACTACCTATCCACTTAATATATATTAGACAACAAACACGGACACTGTATACACTGCATACCCATTGAAAGGTTTGTTTTAGAATGATTATAAGGACATCAAAACTATAAAATAACATATATGGAATTATGCACTGACCAAAAAAGTATTAAACAAAAATGAATTTGTTGGGGGTAGATCTGTGGGTTGGGACTCAGAATGTTGCCGGTTCAAATCCCGTGGTCGGCAGAGTGATGCCACCATTGGGCCCTGAACCCCAGTTGCTCCAGCGTCTGGCTGACCTGACTGTCTCCTCTACGCCAGTTTCATGAGGTGGCCTCCTGGGATGCTTTTATAACTGTCCTGAACAAGGTCCCACATATATGCTGAACACTCATTGGCCGCTTTTCCTTCACTTTCTGGTCAGACTCCTCCAGAAACATCTCTGTTGTGTTTAGGTCAGGTGACCAGGTCATGTGATGCGACACTATTGCTCTCTTTTATAGGTGGTTTGGCGCATCCAAACTTTTCACAGGTACAGTATATTTGGGGCAGTGTGTGGCTCAGCCAGTTAGCACTTGTGTCTGTGATCAGAAGGTCACCGGTTTGAATCCTAAGGCCAACAGACCGATGCTGTCGTTGCCCCTAAGCAAGACCCCTAACCCCCAGCTCCAGGGGGCGCTGCACATTGCCTGACCCTGAGCTGTGACCCCCAAGCTTGCTCTCACCTGCTTGTGTGTCATACAGAACAAGATAGGACAGGCAAAAAGATCATTTCCCCACCAGGATTAATAAAGTATCACTATTCCATTACATATAATATAGACTCAGGCATTCTGACATGTTTTTTTTACAGATGTATTTTCCAATATTGCTGCCAGAGTCATGCTGATTTTCCGAAGGATGGGGGGGGGGCGGCCATTTCACAAACAAATAAGGTTGACTCCACCTGATACTCGCACACTCGCAGCGAACATCGGTACCTTTCCGTCTGCGAGTCATAAATCAAGCTCAAATGAGGATTAATTGTGATTATTAATAATCGTTAGCCCTTGATTTCCACAATAATTCACTTTCCCGCTGGCACATTAAGAGGAGATTAATGTGAATTGCTTAGGGCAGCGTGTGAGGCGGGGCAGACGCCCCGTGACTGTGCTCATTAAGCGTGTCGACCAGGTCGGCTCACGTGGCCCAGGCTCCGTCCTGCCGATGTGTGACTGTCCGTCACTCTGCCATCAAACTTGTGCTCGTTCCACACAACGTGTGACTCAGAGAGAGCCGACGCATTGTCTGTGATCAGAAGGGTGCTGGATCAAATCCCAGCATTGGCAGAATTTTTGCCGTTTATCCCTTGAGCACAGCCTTTAAGCCCCAATTGCTCCAGGACTTGTCGGACCCTGTTTTCTCTAAATAAATAAATAATAATGCATATTGCTTTGGATAAAAGTCTGATAAAGACATGACAAATTTAAAAAACAAAGATATTAATGTATGTCCACAGGCTGTCAGCACAGTTCCTGTAGGTATTTATGAAGGTCTGTCATCTCTCAGGACCTTTAAGGACCACAGTGATTTGCCTGTGATCGGAGACTTTATAGGCTGTTTATACGTGTCGTGTCCCAGCCGTCTGCTCTCCGTACGGCCAGCTTCTGGCACGCCGAGGCACGATCGGCCCGGCCTTACCGCTTACGAGAACCAAACTCAGCGGCTCAGCGGACTGAGGCAGCCCTGCATTCCCGCACGCCGTCCAGAGCTGATCTACAGCACGGCAACCTCAACGTCATTAAACGGCCCTTCGGTCCCCCCCCTTCCCCCGTTCTCCAAAACGATCAGGGCTGTCAAGCGTGATCTACGATTTAATTCAATCCTGGAACGTGCAATTTCGGCCTCCCCGGCGCCATCGGAAGGTTCACTCGACCCCGCGCCGACATAAATAACGACCGGGGCCCGGCCCTCTGAGGCAGAGACTTCTGGCTTGGGATCAGGCGCTTGTTCCCCACTGTGAAACAACGAGTCGCTTGCGGCCCACCGATGGCAGCACAGCCCCTGATTTATAGTCGCGGGAAGCCCGGTTTGGAGCCCATTTTGGAGCCCGGTTTGGAGCCCATTTTGGAACCCGGTTTGAAGCCCGGTTTGGAGCCCGGTTTGAAGCCCATTTTGGAGCCCGGTTTGAAGCTCTTTTTGAAGCCCATTTTGGAGCCCATTTTGGAGCCCGGTTTGAAGCCTGGTTAGCCAGCTCTCGGGCTCGCTGTTACTTTGGGCAGATTCTACTGATGGGCAGCGGCTCCTTGCGAATCACGTTCCTGAGAAACTCCGTTACTGGGGCATTCAGTAGAGCCGCAAAGCTGCTGCGGACACGGGGGGGGGGGAGGGTCTATAAAATATGTGACCACCCCACATGAATAAATCTGCCCAATTGATTCTCTGGCGCCGACCCCCCCCCCCACCCACCCTCATCAGTAAGTTTTTTCATCAGCAACCCCCTCCCCTAGGTCAGAATTTTTTACCTCTTTCGGCTATAGGGTCCCAGAAACAACAAACCCGCCTTTGGGCACCCCCCAGAAAAATAACTGGCCCCGGATGGCCACCCCAATCAAAATTTTCTGCAGGCCCAACTGCAGGGACAGGCTGCCGTTTTGATTACTTTGGCTTTTATCCGCCATTTATCTGGAAGCTGAGTTTTCCACTCTCCTTCTCAACAGGGCACCCCCCCCCCCCACCACCCTCACAAACACCCAGAGGCAGGCAGCTCTCTGTGGGCTACTTATGCTCACTGTCATTCCGATGGGCAGCGGCTGGAAGTCAGTGTAATAAAAAAGAAAGAAAAAAAGCGATTGGCTTATAAATCGAATGGAATTCACCCTGCCGGGCCCCTCGGGTCAAGGTGACGTGGTGACCCGGCATCGACGAGCACCTGAGAAGTGTGACAGCACTATTAAAAAAAATACACATTGCTAAATTGAGCTATAAGGCGGCTGGAGGCGTCCAATTAAGTTTGAAATATCAACACCCCCTGAAAGGGGTCTGAACGGGCTGTCATTCCTGGATGGAGGGCTTGTCTGGCAAAACAGACCTAAAGCAGACATGAGATTGTGTATTAAACCACCACGGAACTGCATAAAGTCTCGCTCCAAATAGGACACTTTGTTATAGTCGGCCCTGTCAGAAAACCTGATTTTTATTGTTCGGCCTGGAGTGTAAAACGTGCGCTCACTGAAAATGGAGAAATGGGGCTGGTTCTCCGATCGGGGCGGCAAGCCGGATGAGGGTGGGGGGGGGGGGGGGGGTCCGAAGAGGACAAGGATATGGGCCCCCTTAAAGCACCCCATTTGTCAAGTCAGTCACAGGGGTGGCATTTAAAGGGCTGAGGACAATTTTTTATTATTATTATTTTTTTAAACAAGGGCACAGGAGAGAGTTTGACATTGGGGGAAGGGACAACACGATCATTTAAACGCAAAGGTCTGTTTATTAGGGAAGGACAAATGAAGTTGAATTAAATACTGAGGAGTACACATCCCTCCGCCTTCCTACCGGTTACCCAGGGCAGGTGTCGATTTCGTCAGCTTTGGCGTGGCGGGAAGGTGTGGCTCCGACTGGGGCGACGCCCCGTGAGCCAAACCCTCACATTATTTCTGAGCTCCGCTAATATCATCCCAGCTCACTCCCAATCAGTGGTTTTAATGACAGTATGAATCTTAATAAAGGTACGATGGGGGGCTTTTATTTAGAATCACTGTCGGTTCTATTTATGAGCAAACATTGTGTGTTGTGTTATGGGGCTCTGTGTCCAGATCGATATTTCAGCAGCGGAGCGAAGCCAACGTCCTACGCACCATCAGGCTGTCATCCATCCACAGGCATGAAATCCTACAGGAGCTAGGATGAAGGTCACAGCTGTCTGGTGAGGGACAATTTCCCCTGCTTTTTTCCAGTTGAAAAAGTTTAATTACAGTCTTGGGGCCACACTCTCCCAAGAGCCCTTGAGTTTGGCACTTTTCATCCAGTATATGACATTCCTGGGCAATATGGCTGCAGTCAGAAATACAACTGCTTAAAAATAAAGAAATTAATAAAAAAAAATATATACATATATAAAAAATTCATTTATGTGTGTGTGTGTCTATAGTACTATTTGGTACATATAAAAACATGGGAATAAGTGCCTTTTGTATCTTAATTATGAAACTCAATCTATGTGTGAGATAAGATAGGAAAGTATATATAATGTTTTTAAATATTTTGCAATACAGTGGTCTCTGAACTCAAATCTAGTGACTGGTCTTCAGTCCTATTTGCATGTCCTGGCTTCCCAGAAGCAGGAACTGAATGAGTGTTTCTGAGAAATGAATGGGCAGTGTTTACGCTGAAGCAAAATTAAAATATTGTATTTTGCAAGTTTTGTAGAGGAACTAAGTGCAAAAGGTGCCATCTTGGCTCCGTTATAAGTAGTTATGGAGCCAACATGGTTATCTTTTCTACATATCGCTTATAACTCACATATTACATAAAATTTAAAGATAAGGTGCACAGTACAATGTAAATGTAGTAGAATTAAAATGCAACGGAATGGATTGGAATGAAGGTTCGTGTTTTTTCTATCAGGCGAAACTGCATCCTACCTAAAGCGTAACTCTAGGACCCAAACTAACCTCTCAATAATGGCTGCCCTCAGACTCGGGGAAGCCGGTGTCGGTAAGCAGCTTCTAATTCTTAACAATTACCCACTTCACTGCTTTTTCGCGGGGTTAAGAAAATGAAAATGAATCCCGCTGCGCATAATCTTTTTAACAGACACGACACATTCAAATGTTCTATCGATGTAGCCGTCGAAATGCTTTGTTTCACTTTCTCACGTCTATACGTTAGGCAAATGGAACGTCGTGCACCACATCCTTTTCCTCTCTTTGACTACATTTATGTTTCGTTTTCGGTGTGTCCTTAACGGTCACATAAACGCTCTGCGATATATTCGCCCAGCAGTCATACACATTTTAACAAGCCGCCTGCCTGAGTATCGAGGCAGCCGGATGGGGCTGATCATTACATCACTTTCTTTTGTGGATTACATCAATATGTTCTGACAGTTAGATCGTGTCGCAGCAAAAAATCAGTAAGTAGACAAATGACCATCGATATGAAAAAAGACAGGGTCGTAAAGGCAGTTTGCATCGACGTTCATTCACAAGTTGTCTAGCGCGTTTGCGGACAGCTGATTGGATAATACCCTCTTGCAAAGCGCCACGCTGAAGACGCTGATTGGCTGGCACTCATTACACGCTACCTTTTTTTGTTCCCCTGTCAAAGGTCAGGGCAGGTGCGAAACGGCCCTATTATGACGTGATTCGCTAGACATTAGTCTTTTAAATAAATTTTTATTGTAAACGTATACGTAAATGCTTTTTTTGAGTATTCCAATGGCGATTGCTCTCAGGTAGATTTTTAAAAAGGCACAAATAACTTTCTGCTGGTCGCACAAACCCAGGCTGCATCCTCTTCGCTGTTGATCACTAGCTGTGTCCATGATCCTCCTGCTCCCTGCAGGTACCTTTTGCAGGATGCACTTCCTCCTGGTGGCTTTCCTGGCTTGCCTGTTGGTGCCCCACACACAGGGAGATTCCAAAGCTATCACAACATCTCTCACCACAAAGTGGCCCTCCACTCCGCTTCTCCTGGAAGCCAGGTAGGATGCCTTGCCCGCTGAGGTGGGGCTGAACCCAGTGGGATCCTCTGCCATTGAGTTTAATGGAAAACTATCTCGTTTGCGCGGTTTAATTTGTGGTCAAAGGACAGTGTGTCTCTCCTGGGACCAGTTGGCCCGTAAGTAGGTGATGGGAGGGAGTACAGGTGTTCTATAGTGAGCAGCGGTGGCGTTAGTGCATTATCACAGTGAACACGGCCGGATCTGAATGCTCTCTCTTCTTTCCCCCGCTAGTGAATTCTTCGCTGAGGAGAGTCAGGAGTTATTCTGGAATTTCGTGGAGCTCAACCAAAATATAGACGACGAACACGATGGTATGTTTCCCTAGTGCTGTTTCCATGGTGACTTCCTGATAACTGCTCATTTGTATATATGATGTCATTTGTATTTGTGTAGTTAAGCAGACATCTGTTACATAGCTTATTTATCCAGCTGGATGTTTTAGCTAAACAATTCAGATAAAGATCCCTTTGCCAAAGGGTCAACAGCAGGTCCCTCGACCCTGTGTTTATGCTACATCTTTTTCTGCTCGCAAGATTTGATGCATTGTATTTTAACAAGCAAGACAAAACTTTATTTAAGATTGAAAAGCGGCAAATGCAGACATCTCCAGTACACTTTAGAAGTTTCATTTTCAGTAGCTGATTTTTCACTCCCGTTGTCAGGGTGTTTTCGGGTCGGTTTCCCTCAGCAGCATAATGTTTATGGACCGATGAGGCACCGAGCTGCTTGTACTTTCATTTGCTGGTGATGTAATGAGTGTGAGTTCTCACCTCCTCCCTTTCCTATTGGCAGGCACCGACCAATCGTATTACCAGCTGATCCTGGAGCGGGCGGGGACGCTGCTCAGCCAATTGCAGCTCAGCATGCTTCGATTCTCCCTTTCGCTGCGGGTCTACTCCTCCACCGTGTACGCCTTCCAGCAGGTCAGTCCTTGAGTCACGTGACATTCCCCCTGATGCCTTTCCCATTCCCCCTGACGCCCTCTCGTCCGTTCCCTCGCAGATCGCCTCCAACGAGCCCCCCCCCGAGGGGTGCCAGGCCTTCTTCAGCGTTCACGGCCAGCGGTCCTGCAGCGTGGAGCACCTGAAGGCCCTGCTGGAGAGCGCCCCCGACAGGTAAAGGAGCGGTCTGACAGCCTACCCACAGAACGGCCCGCTCACTGGGAAGACTTCAGCCTTTAACACTGGCATGTGGGTCTGCTTGTTTCAGGCCAAAACCATTCCTGTTCAAGGGAGATCATAAGTTCCCAGGCTCTGACCCCGACGCCCCCGTCGTAATCCTCTATGCCCAGATGGGGAGCAGAGAATTCCCCCGACTCCACCAGCTGTTTGTCTCCAAGGCCAACAAGGGGGAGGTGACCTACGTACTGCGTCACTTCATGCCCGTGAGTGTCCACCCCCTTGGGGCAGATTGGTTTCATCCAAGTCGTCGCCATCCTCTTCCATCTTGTTTCCACATTTATGATCTGCACACTTAGGTATCTTTTCTGACTAATAGAATCCCAGCAGCAGCAAAGTGTTTCTCTCTGGCTACGGGGTGGAGCTGGCGATCAAGAACCAGGAGTATAAGGCCAAGGATGACACCCAGGTCCAAGGTACGAGCGTGACACCTCACATGTAAGGTAATATCGGGTCACTGATTTTTTAAAGCGAAAACAAACCATCAAATTGTTTTGCTGCAGGAGCTGATGTGAACGCCACTGTGATTGGAGAGAGCGATTCCGTGGATGAAGTTCAGGGCTTCCTCTTCGGGAAATTAAAGTGAGTGTCTCGATGCTGCCCTGCCCTCATGAGATGGTATTCAGATTGAGGTCATCGCAGAGGTCATCGCAGAGGTCATCGCAGGTCATCGCAGGTCATCGCAGGTCATCGCAGGTCATCGCAGGTCATCGCAGAGGTCCGCCCGCCAACCTGCTCATCTTTCTGTCTTGCTCCCTCTCCCCCCCCGCCCCCCCTCAGAACCTTGTACCCAGAGCTGAAGGAGCAGCTTAAGGAGCTTCGCAAACACCTAGTGGAGAGCACCAACGAGATGGCCCCCCTAAAAGTCTGGCAGATGCAAGGTGTGTCCGTCAGAGCCCTCCGCCCGCCTCCTGTTGAGCTATGATCATGGTTATCATGCACGTGAGACACTGATCCTTCTGCATCCGCCCACACCAGACCTCAGCTTCCAGACGGCCGCCCGGATCCTGGCCGCCCCGTCTGTGGATGCCTTGACGGTGATGCGGGACCTCAGCCAGAACTTCCCCAACAAGGCCAGGTACGTCCTTCATCTGTCCCTGCAGCAGGGACAGGAAGTCCAGCCGAGGCCTCCGGCGTGGCCCCTCCTTTATTTGCTTACCCCTCCTCCCCCACGAAAACAAACTTCATGAAACCTGTTAGGCGACCGGCCAGCGGTTTGAAGGGGAATTTAATTACACGCAGCCAAAGGAAGGGAGCAGGGCCGTCCTTCGTCCTCCAGGGTCCTGGAAGGGAGCTGGGCCGTCCTTCGTGCCCCAGGGTCCTGGAAGGGAACTGGGCCGTCCTTTGTCCCCCAGGGTCCTGGAAGGGAGCTGGGATCGTGTTTGGCTCGGACCAAAGTTATTTGTATTCTGGGGCACCTACACTATAAACTGGGTGGATCCTGGGGGGGGCACATGATCAGAATAAATACGCAGTTCATAGTGGCACGGTATGGGGGACTTGGGGGTTTAATTCGTCATTCTGTGACTCCTCTTCCTTGCTTTTCTGCCCGTCAGATCCATAACGAGAACCATGGTGAACTCGGAGATTCGTAGAGAAATCGAGGAAAACCAAAAGGTGAGTTTGACTGTGAGCCTCTCGACCGCTCAGGGGTTTCAGACAGATCCTCTGCTTCTGCTCTGGGCCGCGCCGTCGGCAGGACACACGACTCACCGCTCGTTTCTTTAAAGCGAGTACAAGGGAAGCGGTATCACTCTATTTGTGTTGTGAACAGCGCCACCATCTGAGCAGGAAAATTAGCTCACAGTTTGACGCCCTTTTGGCTGACGCTCTTCTCTCCCTTGTGAAATGAGCTATTACGCCCGTGTGTAATTTGTTTATTTACCTCGCCTTAATTCAGCCGGGCCCCAGCGTATATTATCCTTTGTTTGCCAGCGAGCCAAGCGGCACGGTCGCGGTGTTTGCAATTAATTAATTTTGCCACCCGTCCCCATCTCCCCAGCCCCGCCCCGTTATTGATGGCGGTAATCTGGCCTTAATGAGTGCCACGGCGCCTCCGTTTCTCATCCCTCGCTGGCACCACGTGGCCCCCGTACGTGACTAATGGTGTGTCTCAGCGAGGCCGGTGCGCGACCTGCGTCCCTGAGCCTTTAGGGGCCCAAAGTGTTGGCGCTTCCGGGCTAGATGGGCCCAGGTGTCCCAGAGTGACTTGGCAAACCCCCCCACCCACCCAGCAAGCTACACCGTTGTCACCCCCCACCACTCTGCCATTCATTATGGCTCAGAGTGTGTATTAATCCGAACATAAATTAATCACAAAACGCTGATTCATTTTCCATTTGCGTGAGTACAGGGACATCGGAATGAAGGAGCATTTCGGGGGGGTTGAGGGCTTTGCTGAAGGGCCCGACAGACATGTGATTGTAACCTGCTGAGTCACATGCTACCCACCACTGACGCAGAGCGGGTCGGTCAGCATGACACGAAAAGAGCATTTTTATCGTCATTGAAAGACACACTTTGCATTCGGGTTGAGCTCATCAGCCGTGTCACAGCCGAGGGAGCTCCGCGTTGGGGGGTTCCTGTTTGGACCGAGCGGTACTTGCTTATCCTCCACTCCCCTTTCAGTACTTTAAGGGAACCCTGGGCTTGCAGCCTGGAGACTCTGGCCTCTTCATCAACGGCCTCCACATCGACCTGGACCTTCATGACATCTTCAGGTAGGACCGTGCTGGGCTGTTGGCTGCTGACACGCGTCCCGCCGGTGCAGTGGGGGGTGCGTGTAACCGGGCCGCCTCTCACGCCCCGCAGCCTGCTGGAGACGTTGAGGAACGAGGCGCGGGCCATGGAGGGTCTGCATAGCCTGCACCTGGACTCGCCCGTCATCCACGACATGCTGCATCTGAACGTGCAGCCCTCGGACTCGGACTACGCCGTGGACATCCGCAGCCCCGCCGTCTACGTGAGTCATACCGCCGTGGTGGTGGTGATGATGTGGCAATTGTCGCCGCTTCATGCTCTGCTGGCTGTAAGGGATCTGACGACTGAGGCACTCCTCTGTCCTGCTAAGGGATCTGACGACTGAGGCACTCCTCTGTCCTGCTAAGGGATCTGACGACTGAGGCACTCCTCTGTCCTGCTAAGGGATCTGACGACTGAGGCACTCCTCTGTCCTGCTAAGGGATCTGACGACTGAGGCACTCCTCTGTCCTGCTCCCTCTCCTGCTCTGGCTCCTCCTTGTCTTCTTCTTGCTCTCTCTACCTCACTTTCCACCTCTTTCTCTTTCCCTCCTTGTTTCTTTCTTTCTCTCTCCCTTCCCCTCTCTTTCGCTCTCTCTCCTTCTCCCTCTCTCCCCCACACTCACTCTCTCCCTCCCTTTCTCCCCCCCCCCAGTGGATAAATAACCTGGAGACAGACGGTCGCTATGCCTCCTGGCCCGCCAACGTGCAGGAGCTGCTGCGCCCTACCTTCCCGGGGGTCATCCGCCAGATCCGCAAGAACTTCCACAACCTGGTCAGTCAGATCTTCCACACGTACGGAGTCTTAGTGGTGTTTGACTCTGCAGATTCATAACTTCAGTTTCTGACTGTGTCCCTGATTCGGTGTGCGTGTTTTTCAGCTGATCATCTTGGACCCTGTGCACGAGAACACCGTAGAGCTGTTGAGCGTCGCCGAGATGTTCCTTAGCAACAACATCCCGCTCCGGTGAGTGGGGTGTGGCCTGCCCGTGGTACCGGGCCCGTTCCTGAGTTCTTCCAGTTATTCAGCATTTGACATGACGATGTCCTTGGCGCGCTCGATCTCGTCCACTAGGATCGGCTTGGTGTTCGTGGTGTCCGACGCCGACGAGGTTGACGGCATGGAGGACGCCGGCGTGGCCATGCTGCGGGCCTTCAACTACATCGCCGACGAGATAGACAACCAACACGCCTTTGATGCGCTGATATCCGTGAGTCCCTGCTGCTCCGCCATCTTGCTCCGCAGCGTCCCCTCTGTGGAACTGGCCCCAAATGTACTTCCCTTTGCTCACCAGATGTTCAACAGAGTCCCAAGTGGGGGGTCGCTGAAGGTGGAGCACGTGGTGGGGGTGCTGGAGAAGAGGTACCCCTACGTGGAAGTGGGCAGCATTCTGGGGGCCGACTCCTCCTACGACAAAAACAGAAAGGTGAGCCCTGTCCTACCAACACAGACCAGCAGGTGGCAGCGGGTGAGGTGGGCTTGATATTCAGGTCACTCTCCTCGCTGTTTTAACTTCTTAGCACGTTAATCAGGTCTGGTTCAACACAGAAATCTAATGCTATAAAATGGCTCATTCATTTTCACAATGCTCTCACTATTTTCATTATCATTTGGGAGAATACATCACCCCCACCCCCCACCCAGTTAAGTGGAATAAGATTGGGGGAAATGGAAATGTCTTCCCCAAGTAATTTTTTTTTTTGTCATCAGTTTTTTAAAAATTTGTTGCACATCCATCCATCCATCCTGGTCAGCTTATCCCAGATGAGCAGTTACAATATGGATGGATGGTCGTATTGCATATACAGGTTATAATCCAACGTTGTGAAGGGATCAGAAACAGTTTGTGCTCTCTGCTGCCCCCTCAGGAAGGGAGGGCGTATTACCAGCAGACGGGCGTGGGACCCCTCCCTGTGGTGCTGTACAATGGCATGCCCTACCAGAGGGACCAGCTGGACCCCGATGAGCTGGAGACCGTGACCATGCACAAGATCCTGGAGACCACCAGCTTCTACCAACGGGCCGTGTACCTGGTGAGTGAGCTGCTTGGGACAGATGGTCCGGGAGAGACGGCGGTCGGGCTGGACAGGCCGGTGATCTGGGCGAATGAAGGGGTTGGGACTGGAGTGACACCCTTATCCCCCCGCCGCCCCCCTCGAATTCCAGGGCGAGCTGGGAAGCGATCAGGACGTGGTGGACTTCATCATGAACCAGCCCAATGTGGTCCCCAGGATCAACTCCAGGATCCTGTCCCCCAATAGGCCGTATCTGGACCTCTCCAGCACCCGTGAGTTGGGGGGAGGGGGGGGAAGCAGTGCACATTTTTTTCTCTCCCTCACTGTCTAATGGTTCTTCTTCTATGAATTGCACCATTTGGGTTGATTGGGAAAGTTTTCCAAAAACAGCCCCCTCTACTGGTGCATTGAGGTTTTTCTATGAAGGGGATAAACTGAGCACTAAAGCCAACACTAGGGGTCAGCAGTGACCTGCCAGTCAGATCATAATAAATGGTTCATGGAGGTGAGGCTGAGCTTAACTAGACAGTGATGTAACTGCCATGATGTTCAGGTCAGGCTGGAACCTGCTGCCTGCTGATATTTATATTGTGTGATACAGAGCATCATTGACTGCCCCCCCCCCCCCCCACAGACAATCACTTCATTGACGACTACGCCCGCTTCCTCTTCCTGAACACCAAGGAGAAGAGCGGGGCGGTGGCCAACAGCATGAGCTACCTGACCAAGAAAGGTGAGATGGCAGCCGGCGGAAGCTTCTGTGGGACGCCACTCGCTCGTCAGCCTCAGCGGATGCACTCTCCTTTCTGACTACGTGCTGAACTCCTCTTTCTTTCATTCTTTCCTTCTCTTCCCCCCCCCCCTCCCCCCCTCTTGTCTGTTGTGATTTCTTCTTCACCACAATGCCAGGAATGGGCTCCGTGGACAGCTATGGTAATTGTGTCTGTGTGGGTTGGTTATGTTTATATTACATTGTGGGGACCAGATGTTCCCTGCAATGTAATAAAAGCCATTGACATTGTGGGGATCATTTTCGTTGTTGGAATTATAGTTTTCTCCATAGAAATGAAGAGTCCCCACAAAGATATAATTACAAACTTATGTGTGTGCGTGCGTGCGTGCGTGCGCGTGTGTGTGTGTGCGTGCGTGCGCGTGTGTGTGTGTGCGTGCGTGCGT